GTTCAAGAGTTGATAAAAAAATTAGAAAAGGCTTTCCCCTCATGGCAACTCTCATTCTCCACGAGTGCTGTCAGCACGATGTTTCACATTTCTGATGATTTCTCTCTCGGGGTGAAGACTTCTGTGCTCCGGGCAAAAGGAGAATTAACTTTGCCCCCTTTGAGTGAGTGTACTTGGATGCTGCCACATCCAGGTACACCAGTCTGAGAGGAGTGCAGACGTCAGTACCATCTTTTGTAGGGGTTCAATTTCGCGTTTGGGTTGTCGCTCCCCTTATCATACAGGCACAAATTGTGCACTGCATACACAAACTGCAGTGGGGGACGACCTGTGCAGCACACATGAATTGACCCTTCCCTCCTCTCCCCCCCTCCTCCCCCCCACCCCTCCTCTCCTCTGGGGACAATGTGCAGGATGCAAAAAATGATATTGAGTCAGATTTGCCTGGGATTGGAACTCAAACTTGCATTTGATGGATTTACAAGAATCCAAAACTGACAAAAACTGAATTTTTAACAATTTTTAGTGAGCGTGTATTTGTTTGTCTCTCTAATTTACTTATCTCGCACGTGAGTTCAAACTTCTTAGTGTTCTGCACAGCACGCAGCACGTGTGGGCCTCTCACATCATTCGAATGAGAGAGCCACCAGGCCGTTTTGACTGACCACTCTTCTGTCTGGTTGCTGTTTCATTTATTCAGGATGGCGGAGGCTCATCAGAGGCTGGATCAGAAAGTGGGACTTCTGGTGAGTAAGGCGGACTCATGTTTTTTATCTCCTCCCCGTCTTCCCCCCCCCCCCCCCCCCCCCCCCCCCCCCCGACACACACAAAAAAAAAAAAACTTCCCCGCAAGGAAATTTGGACCATTTCTCAGTTTGTGTCTCATCCTTGTGCAGGGGCTATGCAAATTCTCTATATATCGCTCCAATTGTAACAGATGCCCTGAACAACACTGAATCCATATTATGTTTCTGTTGTCATGCGGTACTTCTCTTATGCATTGCATGCGCTCCTTTTCTTTCACAATGAAGCATTCTTTCACAAACCTACAAGTTTTTTTGTTTTTGTTTTTCCTTTTTGTTCTCTCTCTTTTTTTTTTTTTTCTTACGAGTTCGCATGCCAATTCTTGTAGAAATAAATATGAAAGTCCTTGTCGAAAAGGCCTGTCAACGGCTCCCGTTTCTTATCCTGTTCTCCCTCTCTTCTTACGGCTGGCCGGGTAGTTCTCTGTGACAACGTCATCGCATGGCGAGCCTTGTACGTGAGAGGCATGGTGAACGGGGAGTTAAAAGAAGAATGAGAAAAGTGAATGGTTTCAGTTTGCCCTTCATGTCGGTCTTTTTTTTTTTTTTTTTTTTTTT